AAAAGAAGAGAATTCATGGACATGGACAACCAATGGTGTGGTGATTCTAGGGGGTAGGGGAGTGGATGGAGGTGTTAAAAGGGTATAAGGAAGATAAAGGTGATGAGAAAAAAATAAATTAAATTAAATTTAAAAAATTATATATTAGAGCCAAAGATTAAGACATGTCATTTTAACCAGGCAACTGGCAATTGTGAAGTGCTTGCAAAATGCCACATAAACAAATCATATCTGCACACAATGGAAAATCAGTTGCAACAGGTCTTTGGGCCAGTTCTTTAAACTTTAGTAATTGATGAGAATGGAGAAGTTTCGTTCTGGAGAAACCAGAACCTATTCCTGTGACTGTCACACATTTAATTGATTTGCATAACCCTATGTGGGGTGTCCTAAAGTTTGTTTCACTATAGAGTATATTTATTTCCAGTTGTGCTATGGAAAAATATTTGCACTGGTTAAAATATTCAGTGATAATTAGAAAGGAGAAAATGGGAAATTGCCTCCCTCTGCACTGTCCAAAATGATAAACATTAGCCACATAAAGATACTTATATGTAAAATAATTTAAATTAAATACAATTAAAATTTTAGTTCCTAGACACATCTCAAGTGCACACTGTGGCCAGTGGCTGCCATACTAGAACAGCATAGATATAGAACTTTTCTATTATCACAACATGTTCTATTGGACAAAATTCTTTTAGAACATGAAAAACATGTCATTTCCCCAAAATTACAGCCAGAATTATAGCCCAAATAGCTCTGACAAGAATTAGTATTGCATTATCTGAGGTTTGCATTTATACATAATTTTATCTTTGGAAATACTGAGCACTATGTTGTAGTAATTAAATGTTAGCTAGGGCTTTGGGGTAAAGTAATCATCCATTTCTAGTTTAGCTCCAATTTGTACTAAATTGTATGAACTTATGCATGTTCCTTTACTTCTCCGTACCTGTATTCTCCTTTTTTAAAAGGTGGGGACTGGGGGATAATAGTACCTACCTCACAGGTTTGTTGTGAAGGATTAAATGAGATAGCCTAACATCTCATACATGTGATCTATAAATGTTAGTCATTCTTAGAATTACTCTGTTAGGTTGCAAAAATGAACATGGCTTGTTCTATGACCTAGAATGTGGGTGACCAGTAGAAAAGACAATAGAGAACATTCAATCACATAAGCAACAACGGAGTCAGTTTCTCACAGCGCCACCCGTGCCCCCCACCACCTTTGACTCTTGATAGATAAAATGGCAACCATGCTGTTCCTCCCAAACTTGGGGCTAGAGAGAAAAGAGAAGTGGCTTTCTCCCTCAGAGATCTATTTGTCTTGTAGCTTTCAAAAAGTCAAGAGGTACTTCACCCTTGAACTTAAGGAACTCAACTGAAAGTTAAGTGTAGTGTCATATCAAATAAAATAAAAGCACAACACACTGTCTATAACAAGTCACTCAGTAGTCAAGGCCTTTGGAGCTGTTTTTTCCAGCTATTTCTAATAATCAAATCCAATTTCTTCACATAAAAGTATGGTGAAATGCTACTAAACACAATCCTTTGTGACTACTACATAACAAGCCTGCTGTACTTCTATAATCAACTGGATAAATATTTATTGAACACCTTCTACAAACAGGACACTTTTGTCTACACCAATCATCAGCAAACTACATCTGACAGGTCAAATTAAGTCCATTTTGGTTTTGTGGAGTATTTTGTATGGTAAGTAAGGTAGGAATGACTTTTACACTTTTAAATTGTTAGAACTGCCCTCAAACACTGAGTGGCCCTGAAAATTAGCTTTTGCTGCAGACTTGATAATGTTTTTTAATTAATTCAACCTAAAATTACAAGTCAAAATAGCACTTACATGTGAAATGTATACAATGGGAAGAGATTTCAACAACTAACATTGGTTGAATCACAAGTTATGACAACATGCTTTATACACTTCCTATGTTGTCACAAGTCAAAGCAACAAAACAAAAATGAGATATCACTTCACACCCACTAAAATGGCTACAACTAAAAAGATAAACATTAATAAGTGTTGGTAGAGATGTAGAGAAATTCAAACCCTCATACATGGCTGGTGGGAGGGGAGAATGGTATAGTCTCTTTGGTAAGGAATCTGGCAGTTCCTCACAGAGTTAAACACAGAGTTGCTATATGGTCAAGCAATTCCACTTCTAGATATGTATCAAGAGAAATGAAAACATATGTCTGACAAAAACTTGTACATGAAGGTTTACACCAGCATTATTCATAATAAATAAAAAGTAGAAACCACCCAAATGTGCATCAACTGATGAATGGATAAATAAAATGTCGTATAGCTACACAATGGAATAATGTTCAGCCATAAAAGGTAACAAAGTATTGATATATACTAAATTTTGGATAAACTTCAACACAATACACTAATTGAAAGAAGCCAGACACAAAAGAGCACATATTGTATCATTCCATTTATCTTAAAGCTAAGAAAAATGAAAACCCATAGAGACAGAAGATAGAAGAGTGGTTGCCTAGGGTTGGGAGTGGAAACAGGAAGTGACTGAAAACAGGCATGAGGTTTCCTTCTGGGGTGATGGAAATGTTTTAAATAATATTGTGGTAATGGTGACACAACTCTAAAATATTCTAATAATCATTAAATTGCACACCTGTAAAAAGTATATACCAAAATCATGGTTCATAGAACAAAAAATTATAAAATTGGGCCCCATTGAAATTCAAAGCTCTTGCACTTCAAAAGATACCACTAAGAAAATGAAAAGACAAGCAACCCACTGGGAGAAAATAGCCACATTTCATATATATGACAGGGACATGTATCCAGAATACATAAATAATTCTTATAGCTCAACAATAAAAAGACAATAAAGACAACAACTCAATTTAAAAATAGAAAATATATATAAACAGATCCTGCACTGAAGAGGACATACTAATGACTAATAAGCACACAAAAGATGCTCACTATCATTAGTCATTAAAGAAATACAAATTATAACCACAATAAGATATCATTTCATAACATTTATAATGGCTATAATAAAAAGACAGATGATAAGAAATGTTGTTGAGTATTTGGAGAAACAGACACCCTCATACTTTGCTGGGGTAGATAAAAAATCGTGGTGCCATTTTGGAAAACAGTTTTGCAGTTTCTTAAAAAGTTAAATATCAATTTGCCACATGATTCAGTAACTCCAGCCTTAAGCATACATCAAAGAGAAATGAAAACTTGTCCACACAAAGACTTGCACATGAATGCAAGCATTATTCACTAGAGCCAAAAACTGGAAACAAGCCGGATGCCTACCTACTAGTGACTGAGTAAACAGACAAAATGTATTATATCCCTAAAATGGAATGTTATTTGCAATAAAAAGCAACGAAGTATCAAAAATACCATGCTAATTGAAGGAAGCTACACAAAAAGACCACATGTTGTATGATTTCATTTAGATGAAATGTCCAGAATAGGCAAATTCATAGAGGCAGAAAGTAGATTAGTGGTTACCTGGGGCTGGGCATGGGAATGAGGATTAGTTATAAATGAGCATGAGGGACCTTATTGGGGGAGGTGAAAATGTTCTGAAACTGATTATAGTGATGGCTGAACCACTCAGTAAAGTTACTAAAAATCATTTAATTATACACTTGAAATGGATGAATTTTATGATATATAAAATATATCTCAATAAATCTGTTAAAATAGGAAAAGCACAGTAGGGAAAACTGGGTGAGAAGTAAACAGGAACTCCGCACTATCTTTACAACTTTTCTACAAATCTAAAGTTATTCTGAAATAAAAATCTATTTTAAAAATTAACAATATGGTATAGGATTCATATCTGTATGTGGCAATCCCTGTCTATGTAAAAAGGCATTTACAAAATGAAATAGTTAAGATGTCATTACAAATCAGCATTAACAGATAAATATTTGGAACAATTTTGATAATACAGAACACTGACTGTAAGCCCCAATTAAACAAAATGTTAGCCCCCCAAAAGAATTCCATTATTCACACTATTAGTCCTGTATTACCAAAAACACTCTACTGTTGTTATTATTATATTTTGAAATTCATCAATAAACATTTGTTGAAATTTTTCTCTTGTTATATAAGCACCTACAAATTATTCAGGATTTTGCCTTTTTGTCCACAAAGCCTAAAATGTTTACAGAAAGTTTGCCAAGCCCTATTCAACACCATAATGATATATATATATATATGTATATGTATATATATATACACACACACATATATATACATATATATACATACATATATATATATATATACATATATATATGTATATATATGTATATATATATATAACATAGTTCTCTCCGGACTGTATTCTTATCATTACCTAATTTTGGCATGCTGTCCTTCTGGATATGTCCTATAAAGGATAAGCTTTGCATCTCTTCAGTTATGGCACTATTTGGGATTTCCTTAAACAGAAATACTATGAGCTTAATAGTTCCAGCAAAGCCTAGATATCATCGTTATTACCGCAATATTAAAGGGCTAACACAATACCACTGTATCAAGATGACCCACATCAACTTGTGTCACCAGGCTACGAACTCACGGAGGACTCCTATGGCATTACACTCTGCCTTTGGCATCACCCTAGCACATCACCTTACTATGGTGCCATATGCTGTCACTGCTGTGACACAATTCTGTTCTGATGCTTTTCTGCCGAGATGTCAGAATAGTTTATCCCTACTTCTTTCCACTCTTGTGCTGGCGGTAAGGAGGGGGAGGGTTGCCACAGCCACCAGTAAGAAGAGCTCAGTGGATAGTACCCAAGTCCTACTGTTGTCCCTTCCGCCTGCAGGTCAGAACCCCCGTGGGACAGGACCTTTAGGCTCCCATAACTCTCTTGCCATGATTCCGCAACCGGTTCACAAGGCCAACTCAAGGCCCCACAGCGACCACCCACCCCGGTTCCACACGAAGCTGATCTCAGTACCTGACTCCATTCTCCAGCTGTCATCCTGGGCCAATTCCACTCGGCCTTAGACAACGGTGGCCGCGAGGTACTCTGGAACTTGTAGTTCCGCGCTGCTAGGGGCAGAATCAATGAGAGCCACAGAGGCGCCGCCGGAAACTGAGCTCAAACTGCAACTCCCAGACGCGCCCTGCACTGGGGAAAGGAGCAATGGAACGAGGAAGGTCGGTGATTGGTGAAACTCCTTTGGTTCTTTTGATTGGCAGTTGGAGCCGGCTACGGGAGGTCGTTGGTCTAGCTGCACGGAGATTCTGGGAAAGCGAAATGGAAGGGTTTGTGTCTAACCTGATGGTCTGCAATCTGGCCTACAGCGGAAAGCTGGAGGAGTTGAAAAAGGAGATCCTGGGCGATAAATCCCTGGCTACTAGAACTGACCAGGTAAAGCAACGCTGGGGCCTTTCCTCAGGCGGCAGCGGTGACGTACACAAACGTGACTGCCTGGTACGGCCCCAGCAAAGGCCTGTTCCCTGAGGGCCAGATCCCCGCCCCTGTCGCTTCAGCCTCACCCCTCAGGATACAGAATGGGACGGTCGGAGCTAGTCCTGCAAACCTGAGTTTTGTTTTTGTTGTTGTTGTTGTTTTGTTTTGTTTTGATTTGTTTGCCTAGTACTTAGCTAGCTGAATTTTGGGTATTGTAGATTGCTGCGTTTCCCAGAAATGCCCCATTTTTGAGCTGTCCCTGAGGAGGAAAGCTTTTTTTTTATATGTGTGTCTTTTACAAGTGATTTTATTCAGTGAAACACGTGTAACTGAACGCCTCGTCTGGGCCAGGCAGCTTGCTAGGAGTTGGGGAGACGGTCGAGTGGAAAAAGCGGATATGCATAAAGTAAACCCAAATCATATATTCGATCACAAATTGTGAAATTCAGGAAAGAAGTTTACGTGGTGCTTTCAGAACATATAAAGGGAGGACCTGCTTTAATCTCCCTTAGAAAAGCGGAATTTTATTGAAAAGGCTGTGCGAAGGAAGTTAGACCTTTCAGGATAAGTGGAATTTTCTTGGAGGATGAAAGGGCATTATATACGCAGAGGCAGAACAAATGTCATTGGACTTTGGGAAGAGTTTTTTTCTGCCCTCCTGCTCAAAGGACTCTCGTGCTTTCACTCTCGGTTTCTAAGAAGATTCATGGTGCCCTTAGTAAGCCACCAAGTATTTATAGATTGCCTCCTATTTGACAGGCACCGTGCTAATAAGCAATAGCGATACAGTGTCACATAATTAGAGATCTCCATTTTGTGTCTTTGGAAAGAGAATTAGAAATCAGGAGACGTTTTTTCCTGGAACTTTCCTTTATTGCTTAACCTGAAAATGGCTTTAGCTGTGCCTAATTTATCTTCATTATGGTCTAGTAATATTTAATACTTAACTTAAGGATGTTAAATTATGATCAAATGATAATTTCAACCACTCTTCATCAACTCAATGGCGTAAAAAGAGGGAAGCTATTCAAGGCCAAGAGACTTAAGAAACATAACGGAATGCAACTTGTGGGCCTTGTATGGATCCTGATTGAAATAAACCAACTGTGAAAAGACAATTGTGGAATTCTGGGTATTAGATGTTATAAAAGTTAGTGTTAATTTATTTTTTTTTAGAGTTAATGTTAAATTTAATAGGTGTAATAATGGTTTCAGCACTATGTAGAAAAGTGCTCTTGTTTTTTAGATACTGAAATATTTAGGGATGAAAAGTCATAATATTTAGGGTTTGTTTTTAAAAACTTAAGCAAGGAAAAATTTGATGAAGCAAATATGGCATATGGGTTTCTATTATATTCCCTCTATTTTTATATGTTTTGAAATTTCTTGACATAAAGTTTAAAATACCATTTTCTTTTACATGGGGCTAAGAAATACAGCTTATTATTTTTTTAAAAAGTAATATGGCTCTCTAGTTCTGTATGTGGTATGTATTTTAAAAGGATATACAGATAATTTCAACTAGTTTTATTAACATTTTTCCCCATAAGATACATTTGGTCTTTCTAGAGAATTGAAACAGAAATTTATGTCCCAGCCTCACCATTTAATAGCTGTGTGACCTTGGACAAGTTGCTTACCCTGAGGGGTCTTAGTTTACTCATCTGTAAAATGGGGATAATATCCACTGTACTGGGGATTAAATGAGGCACATGTAAAACTAGCACAGTGCCTGACATAAAAGTAGAGAAATAATGCAATTATAAGCAGCTAAAGCTCTATTTCTGCCAAAGCATTCAAATCAGTTTCTTACTCTACTGCTTTCATGGCTGTATTCTGTCCAGAGTTACTTATATTCATCAATGTATTATCCCCATATTACTAAAACCTTGGTCTCTCTTATATTAGTAATAATATGGTTTAAGGTCACCTACCTGAGGATCCAGTGCTCCCCATTTCTTGTTTCCAAATTACAGGTTTGCTGGCCCCCATCTTATTTTTTTCTGCTTTCTTACCTTAGTTGTTCTATTTCTCTTCAAAAATGTTGATCTAATTGTTTCTCTCTTTCCTATGTAGGACAGCAGAACTGCATTGCATTGGGCATGCTCAGCTGGACATACAGAGATTGTTGAATTCTTGCTGCAACTTGGTGTGCCAGTGAATGATAAAGATGATGTGAGTACTAGGAAGAATTGATCAATTCTCAGTTATCTGTAAACTTCATACTGCTGTTTACTGAAGCCTGAGTATTAAGCTTACAAACAAAATTGTAACCTTTATTACTAGGAAATTACAGTATGGCCCCGGTGACCAAGTACAGAACTAATGGTTGTATTATTTTAAAATATTAGTTTTGCCACTAATACCCTATAATTTAAGGTAAATATGCAGAGCAAGGCTTATTACAATGTCCTTTTCACAGACTATAGACCTGTTCTTTTATGTTGGAAATTTGTTTTTGGTAAATATTGCCAAAATTATGAGGGCCTAGATATCTTCTTTGTTATATAAATTATTGTAATGGTTTGGCTATATTAGGATAAGAATTGTGAAGAATAAGGATGAAAACTTTTTTTTTTGACAAAGATTCTTTTTCAAGGATGCTCACTGAAGTAATACTTAATTAGTAAAGGAATAAAAACAATTCAGTGAAGGAACGGTTGGATGCAGTGAGTATATCCATATGATAAAATAATATGCACCAGCAAAGTTATGATTCTAAAAAATGACAGAAAAATTCTCACAACAAAATGATAAGTGGAAATTGTGGAAAGTGCAACTCACAGAACTTTATATCCTCTGATCCCAATCACATTGGGATCACACATTAGAAAACACATTTGAATTACACTTAAGTATCATTGCCTCTGTGTTATGGGATTATGAGTGGTTTTTCTTTTCTTTGGTATACATCTGCTTTCTGAATTTTCTGTAGTGCTTAATGAGGGGAAAAGAAAGAATGTTGTCTTTTTTAAGATCACAAACAGTTCTTTGTAAACCCTGCGTAAATGTTACTATTAATCTCTATTAATCTCGGTGCCTTTGCCCCCTGGTTTGTGTACTGCCCCACTCTTTTGCAGGCGGGTTGGTCTCCTCTTCATATTGCTGCTTCTGCTGGCCGGGATGAGATTGTAAAAGCCCTTCTGGGAAGAGGTGCTCAAGTGAATGCTGTTAATCAAAATGGCTGTACTCCCCTACATTATGCAGCTTCCAAAAACAGGCATGAGGTAGGGTTTTATTCCTAGGTGACTCCTTGTGAATTCTAAACCTGTATGCAAACACAAATAGATCTTGGCATGGTTTTCTTCTCCATCCTTCCAGATTGCTGTCATGTTACTAGAAGGTGGGGCTAATCCAGATGCTAAGGACCATTATGAGGCTACAGCAATGCACCGGGCCGCAGCCAAGGGTAACTTGAAGATGATTCATATTCTTCTGTACTACAAAGCATCCACAAACATCCAAGACACTGAGGGTAACACTCCTCTGTAAGTGACAAGTAGCAGTCATTTGTATTCTATCTGACATTAGCCCTCTTACACTTATTCTTACACATCATTTCCTTTTATTATTCTGCTTATAAAGGTAATACATGTATATGTATACTTTTGAAAGTACACAAAAGTATAAAGACAAAAATTTTAAATGCCTATCATCTTGCCACCCAGAATCAACCACTGATAATATTTTTATGAATTTTCTCCCAGTCTTTTATGTGTAACTGCATATTTTACTTTTTTTTTGTAAAACTGGGATCATACTGTATATGTAGTTTTATATGTTGTTCTTTTCACCTCATTAAATATCATGAGAATTGTCAAATGTTATGAAGTATTTTTAAAACATTTTTGAATGGCTATATACAATTCCATTTTATGGATATTCCATAATTTATTGTTCCTCTGTTACTATATATTTGTTTTTTTTTAATTTCCCACTATTATAAATAATGCTACATTGACCAACTTTCAACAAAAATTTTTGGCCATATTGCTGATTATTACCTTAGTTCAGATTGGGTAAACAAATAACACACATTTTAAAGCTATTGGTATATGTTGCCAAATTACTCCCAGAAGGGAGTATCATTATGCCCTCCCAACGGCAGTTTGAGAGTGCCTATTAGCCCCTCACCAACACTGAAAATATCCTTTTTTTGTATGCAAAATGGTATTTCATAGTTGTAATATACATTTTTTATTATCAGTGAACCTAAACATTTTTAATGCCTACAACTGTACCTTTCTGTTTTCTTTTTTATTTCCTTTTCATGAATTAATTTATTTTTATTGATTTTTAAGCACCTGTGACTTGAGAGCAAAAATATTAATCTTCTGCCATGTTAGCTGAAAATATTTTTCCAGTTTGTTTTTTCATGTTGTTCATGACTTTTTTAAATAACACAAGTCAAACCTATTGATTTTCTCTTATGACTAGAAAGATTTCCTCACCCTGAAATTAGTTAAATATTCACCTTTATTTTATTGTAGCATGGGTTTTAGTTGAGAGTTATTGTTACTGTTTTTCATTTAACTGAAATCCATTTGGAACTGATTTATGTGTATGGCCTGAAGCCATCATCTACCTTGATATTTTTCTTATAGTACTTGGCCATTTTTCTTTATTGAATGGTGACTCTTTTTGAGCCAGATATTCTGATTCTGCTTTTTGGTCCAAAGTGAGATTCAATATTTTCTAATTTGACGTTAAACCAGCTTTTTAAAAAATATTGTTTTCTTAACTCTTAGTTTTAAAAATCTTTTCTGTAGTTCTGAGTGACTCTGTTTAGAAAGATTTGCATATTACTCGTTTTTCCAAAACAAGAAAGAAGGTGGCCTGGAGAAATCTAGATGTTGGGCAGTATAGGGTCTTGGAAGAGCCTAGGATTTACAAACTCAGCCACTTACCAACTATATTAAATACTTACGTAACTTGGAGTAGTTACTTAATCTTCCTGAGTTTTAATTTACTAATCTGTAATATGAGAATAATAATTTTTCCTCAGTAGATTGTTGTGAGATAGAAATAAAATAACATGTTAAGTGTCTAATACTCTGCCTCACAAACTGTAAGTGCCCAACAAGATTCTCCCCTCAGTTGTTGCTCAGTCATGTTATCAGAGGCAAGAACTTTAATATCTGTCACAATTTCAACTATAAAATGGTGGTAGAAATACCTCATTAACTTACAAGGTGGATATAAGAATCAAATGAGATAAAATATTTTACACTACTTTTAAAATATAAACCACACAAATTCCTATTAGCAAATTATAAATAGGGGCTTTTCTAAATTTAAACTTGAAATGATTGCATGTGTTTGGTTTAAATTACTGCTAACCTCAATAACAAGGAATTTTTTTCTTAGTTTGGGATTTATTTTTTTTAAATTACATCTTATTGTTTATTGTATTACATTTGTCCCAGTGTTATCCCCTTGCTCCCCTCCATCCAGCAACCCCTCCCTCAGGCAATCCCCCCACCAGTGTTCATGTCCATGGGCCATGCATATAAGTTCTTTGGCTACTCCATTTCCTATACTGTACTTTACATCCCCATGGCTATTCTGTAACTACCTATTTGTACTTCTTAATCCCCTCACCTCACCCATTCCCCTATACCCCCTCCCATCTGGCAACCATCAAAAAGCTCTCCCTGTCCATGATTCTGTCTCTATTCTTGTTTGCTTAGTTTATTTTTTAGATTCAATTATTGACAGGTATGTATTTATTGCCATTTTATTATTCATAGTTTTGATCTTAAGTCCCTTTATCATTTCATATAATAATCGTTTGGTAATGACAAACTCCTTTAGTTTTTTCTTGTCTGGGAAGCTCTTTATCTGCCCTTCAATTCCAAATGATAGCTTTGCTGGGTAGAGCAATGTTGGCTGTAGGCCCCTGATTTTCATGACTTTGAATATTTCTTGCCAGTCCCTTCTAGCCTGCAAAATTTCTTTTTAGAAATCAGCTGACAATCTTATGGGGACTGCCCTGTAGGTAACTCACTTCTTTTGCTGCTTTTAAGATTCTCTCTTTAACCGTTGGCATTTTAATTATGATGTGTCTTGGAGTGGGCCTCTTTGCATGCATCATAATTGGGACTCTCTGTGCTTCCAGGACTTGCATGTCTATTTCCTTCGCTGAGTTACAGAGGTTTTCTTTCATTAATTTTTTCAAATAGATTTCCAATTTCTTGCTCTTTCTCTTCTCCTTCTGACACCCCTATGATGTGAATGTTGGAACAGTTGAAGTTTTCCCAGAGGCCATGGACACTATCCTTGTTTTTTGCATTCTTTTTCCTATTATTCTGATTGATTGTTTTTTTTTTTTCTTCTTTATGTTCCAAACCATTGCTTTGATTCTTGGCTTCATTCACTCTACACTTGTTTCCCTGCAAATTGTTCTTTATTTCAGTTAGTGTATCCTTTGTTTCTATCTGGATTTTTTTATGCTGTTGAGGTCCTAAGTTCCTTGAGCATCCTCATAACCACTGTTTTGAACTCAGCATCTGATAGATTGCTTATCTCCATTTTGTTTTTCTCTATTTCTGGATTATTGATCTCTTGTTTCATTTGGGCCTTGTTTCTTGTCTCCTCATTTTGCCAGCCTCCCTGTGCTTGTTTCTATGTATTAGGTAGACCAGCTATGACTCCCCGCTTTGGTAGCACAGCCTAATGTATTTTGTGTCCTGTGAGATCCAGTGGCACAGCTGCCCATATCATCCAAGCTGGGTATTCAAGGTGTGCCCTTCATGTGGTCTGAGTCTATCCTCCTCTTATAGTTGAGCTTTGGTTCCTATTGGCAGGTCAGGGGGAGGGATTTACCCAGGCCAGGGTATATGCAAGGATTGGCTGTGACCACTGACCACCAACCTCTGCCCTCCATGGAGGATCAACTGTGCAAGGGCAGGGTGATGTTGCTCCAATGTGGTCTGCTGCTGTCCCCTGGATGCTCAGACCTTGGGATTTCCCCGGGTGGTACAGGCCAAGGTCAGCTCCCCCCTGTGTATTGTCTGGGGCTACCCTGCCTAAGTTATAGAGCAATCTGAGATAGCTGCTACTTGTGCTAGGTTTGGAGATTCCCAGGTGAAGCCAAGCTATCAATATAGACTGGCTGCTGCTAGTGCTGTGCTTGGGGCCACTTCATGAGAGGTATAGGGGCTGGGGCCTCACTGAGGCTGGCTGTTGCTGGTTTGAGAGGATTTAAGGAAGTTGTGAAGCATGAGCCAAGACCAGCCATTCTTATGGAAAAGCAGCTTGGGTGGGCCTGTAAGTTGAGTGGGACAGAGCTTTGGGGTATCTCCAAGGTGGAACACACAGTGTTAACCAGGTTGATAGAGTCTCAGATGTAGCAGCTGCCTGCCCTGTGGCTGTGTGGGGTGAGGGTTCAAAAAGGGAACATGGCCTCTTCCCACATTTCTCTCTGGGAGAAAGCTATTCCCCAGCTCTTGCTTTGATGCCAGACACTTCAGTTCGTCCCTGTATTCCACTGGTGCCTTTTAAGCTGCTACCCCAGTGCTAAAGCTCAGAAGGAGTGAGTCTGAGTAGAATACTCCATGTATGAGTTCCATAAGAGGAAATGCTTGGGACTCCAAAAATTTCTTCCACCAACTCAATCTCCACTGGTTTTTGCAGCCTGAAGTTGTGGGGACCTACCTTTCTGGCACTGCAAACCTGGGCTGGAGGGCCTGATGTGGAGCTGGGATGTCTTGCTTTAGAGAAAGCCCTCCCAAATTTTTATCCACCGCATGTGGATATGGTAGAGCCCATTCCACATCTGCATCCCTCATACCAGTCTGGATGGATGTGGTTCCTTTAATTCCATAGTTGTCAGACTTCCATTCAACTTGATTTCTGACAGTTATGAGTGATGGCTGTTCTTTACTTTAGTTGTAATTCTGATGTAGTTGTGGGAGGAGGCAAGCCGTGTTTACTTACTTATTCTGCCATCTTGCCCAGAAATTAGGCTGGCATTTAGATTCCTTCTTTTATTATGGTAGGACTAGATTATGATTTATTATCTGATGTTATAAGGCTATTTCACTGAATTTTAGCTTATAAACACTGCTCCCCATGCAAATTGATTTTCCTTTCCTGATTAAATAACTTTCCAATATTACACTACCTAATAATATGCTCTTTAGAGTACCTATCAGGAAATCTTAGCCATTATGTAGAAGTAGTAGTGATTTATTGGTCTTTGTTTCTCAATTTCAGACACTTAGCCTGTGATGAGGAGAGAGTGGAAGAAGCAAAACTGTTGGTGTCCCAAGGAGCAAGTATTTACATTGAGAATAAAGAAGAAAAGACACCCCTGCAAGTGGCCAAAGGTGGTCTGGGTTTAGCACTCAAGGGAATGGTGGAAGGTTAAGCAGCTTGGATTTATTTTTACTTCATATGTTTTGTGGTTGTCCTCAGTGTCCTGGAAACAAATATACTTGTGCATAAGACATCATCTAGTAATATGAAGGTTTTTTCACCTTCAAAGTATTATAAACACTTTGGCTATTGTTTCTGCTGAGATGTTTGTTCTAAGCTTACAATTTGCTTTCCAGGCATTGAATAATGTTGAGATTGTTCTACTACTGTTGTATATAGAATTTTGGTTAATTTTGAATAAGTGACTCTGTGGTTATTGTGAGACTTCATCACTCTCCCATGCACCCTGTGTCCTTCTCTGAGTCAAAACAACCCCATAGCCTCTGGCCAGTTGTTCTACCAAATGTTTTTAGGTGGATTCTAGAATGTTGCTTCTATACAATTGAAACACATCCTAACTCGTTTTTCAAGCTCACTCAGGCCTACACCAAAAATTTCTGTTTTTTCAACAGTACATTTAATTTATTTTTGTTATAGGAAGAATACTTACATATTTTAGAGGACCATACTTTCAGTTGGAAAGTCTGCTATTCCGAGTTTGGCATTCAAAACCACTAAAATAGTGACCAATTATAGCTTATGTGCCCATGTATCTTTTTAATGTGCTATTTCCCTCCATAAAAAGTGTTGTTTTTAAAAAGGAAGTTTTAAAGTACCTATATTGTTATCCTGTATTAAAAAGAATATAAATCTTGTTAACATGCTATGTTACAAAAATGTACTTTGATTTGTATTTCAGAAACTAAAAAAACAAAATGCTGAGAGAATGAATCTGCCAGTGTTTCTTTCAAATCAGTTAAATGCCCACTAAAGCCTCACAGTCCTTCATAAAGATACTTGTCAGTTTTTGGAAGTTCTAAAGCCAACAAAATTCATAAAGCTTGAACGGAAGCTAAAATTCTTTAAAAGTAGTAATCTTATGAATTGCTAATTAAGTGTGGAGCCAAAGGAAATTAATAAGTGTAAACTTGATCTCATTTTAGAGAAATAGTCTTAAAAGATTACTAATCATAAAATCTAATGACCTCCAAGTAACTCTTCATATTATTTTTTAATTTGAATTTTATACTGCAAATAATGCTTGAAGTAAGTCAACCCACAACTTAACATTAATTTAGGATCAGAGACTTAATGACCAGCAGCTAAAATGAGTTTTATAAACACAAAATGTGGATTTGCAAACCCTTTCTACATAAATATTTTGAGTGCTGATCTTTACAAATATTAATCAGGGAAGAAGCATCTTCTTAATAGAACTAAACTGTGTTTATTGAATGCCAGGGATAGATTTGTTCATAAAGGAAATAATTTCTTCCCAATATTTTTTAGCATGATTGAAGTTGTACATAATACAGCCTGTTAGGATTGAAAGAGTTTACTCTTCATAAATAACTGAATTCACTGTATGAAGTAAAAGAAAACTCATCCTAGTTCTTTAATAAGCAATAAACATGGTATTACTGACCAATTGTTTAATTTATTTTTACTTTATTAATTATACTATTATAGTTGTCCCAATTTTTTCCCATTTGCCCCTCTGCAGTCAGCACCCTCCACTCCATCTGGCAATACCCACACCATTATTCATGTCAGTGGGTCATTCATATACATTCTTTGGCTACCACATTTCCTATACCAGGCTTTACATTCCCATGGCTGTTCTGTAACTACCTATTTGTACTTAATCCCCTCAACTGTTCACCCATTCCCCTATACCCCCTCCCATCTGGCAACCATCAGAAAGCTCTCCCTGTCCATGATTCTGTCTCTTATTTGCTTAATTTGTTTTTTAGATTCAGTTGTTGACAGGTATGTATTTATTGCCATTTTATTCATAGTTTTGATCTTTTCTTAAGTCCCTTTATCATTTCATATAATAATCATTTGGTGGTGATAAACTCTACTTTAGTTTTTTCTTGTTTGGGAAGCTCTTTATCTGCCCTTTGATTCTAAATGGTAGCTTTGCTGGGTAGAGCAATATTGGCTGTAGACCCCTGCTTTTCATGACTTTGAATACTTCTTGCCAGTCCCTTCTAGCCTGCAAAGTTTCTTTTCAGAAATCGCTGACAGTCTTATGGGGACTGCCCTGTGGGTAACTCACTGCTTTTGCTGCTTTTAAGATTCTTTAACCGTTGGCATTTTAATTATGATGTGTCTTGGAGTGGGCCTCTTTGCATCCATGTTGTTTACAACTCTGTGCTTCCTGGACTTGCATGTCTATTTCCCTCACCGGGTTACAGAAGTTTTCTTTCATTATTTTTTCAAATAGATTTCCAGTTTCTTGTTCTTTTTCTTCTTTTCCTTGCACACCTGTGAGCAAATGTTGGAACATTTGAAGTTTTCCCAGAGGCCACTGACACTGTCCTCGTTTTTTGGATTCCCTTTTCTTGTTCTGATTTGTTGTTTTTTGCTTCTTCATGTTCCAAATCATTGATTTGATTCTCAGCTTCATTCACTCTACTGTTGTGTCCCTGCAAATTGTTCTTTATTTCAATTAGTGTATCCTTTATTTGTGATTGGATTTTTTTTTATGCTGATGAAGTCCTTACTAAGTTCCTAGAGCTTCCTTATAACCAATGTTTTGAACTCAGCATCTGATAGATTGTTTATCTCCATTTTGTTTAGTTAGTTTTCTGGAGTTTTTATCTCTTCTTTCATTTAGGCCATGTTTTTCTTTCCTAGTTTTGGCAGCCTCCCTGTGTTGGTTTCTATGTATTAGTTAGAGCTGCTGTTATACTCTGTCTTGGCAGCACAGCCTAATGTATTTTGTGTGCTGTAGGTCCAGTGGCACAGCTTTCCCATCACCCATGCTCAGTACTTGAGTTTTGCCCTTTGTGTGAACTGAGTGCACCCTCTTCTTGTAGTTGAGCCTTGGTTTCTGTTGGCAGATCAATGGGAGGGATTACCCAAGCCAGTCAGTTGTAAGCATTGGCTGTGACCACTGACCACCAACCTCAGCCCTCCATAGAGGATCAGCTGTGTAGGGGCAGGGTGGTGGTGCTCCATGTTGCCTGCAGCTATCCAGTGAGTGCCCAGGCCCTGAGGTTTCCTGGGTTGTGCAGGCCAATTTCAGCCCCCATCTGTTTTGCCTGGGGCCACCCTGCCTGAGCTATAGTTCAATCTGGGATGGCTGCTACTTGTGCTGTGCTTGGAGATTCCCAGGTAAAGCATAGCTGGGAATCTAGGCTGGTTTTGCTAGTGCTGTCCTTAGGGCCACTTCACTGTTGGTAAGGGGGCTGGGGGCTCACTGAGGCCAGATATTGTTTGAAAGGATTTAGGAAGTTGTGAAGCATGAGCCAAGACCAGTCATTCATATGGAAAAGCTACTGTTAGCAGTTGTAAGATGGATGGGACAGAGTCTCAGGGGATCTCCAAACAGGGCAAACAATGTTAGTCAGTGTAGGAGACCATTCTGCCCCCAGTGACAAACATTTACTGCAAAGTAACTTCCTAAAAACCATGCAAAACCTTCCAAGGACCAGTGTAACCAGTTCAACCACTTTTGCCTTTTCATTTGTAAATATTCCTCTTCTGTAATGTGATTACCGGCATCCTCTCCTTTGTTTTCTGTATAAGCTAACCACCTAAAGCGAGCCTGTGCATAGTTAATGAGGATCTTCATTTAATGTGCCCAGTAAGACAATAAAAGCTCATCAAAGCTAGGGCCAAGGCTTTTGCTCCCCTTAAGAGAGAAGCCGCTCGCCCTTTTTTCCCACAGGATTCAGTAGACCATGTGGATTTCTTTTGTTTCAGCTACAACACTGTGGACCCCAGGAGCCGGGGTTCGAAACTTGTCAGGTTGATAGAGTCTCAGATAAGACACCCTGCTGGCTTTGTGGCTCTGCCTACCTTTCTGCCTGGGAGAAATCTGTCCCCCAGCTCGTTCCTTGATGCCAGACTCTTCAGTTCCTCCTTATATGCCACTGGTGCCTTTCAAGCTGCTGCCTTGGTGCTGGAGCTTAGAAGGAGTGAGTCTGAGTAGGTAAGTCCATGCGTGGGTTCTTTAAGAAGAACTGCTTAGGACTCCAGAAATTTCCACCAACTCAATCCCTGCTGCTCTTTGCAGGCATATGTTATGTGGCCTTAACTTTCTGGCACTGGTGTCCTGGGATGAGGAGCCTGGCATGGAGCTGGAATCCTTCCTCGTGAGATATCCTCCCTGATTTTTATCTACCACATGTTTATTTGGGTCCATCCCATTCTGGGGTTTGCCCCTCCTACCAGGCTGCATGGATGTAGTTTCTTTAATTCCCTTAGTTATCAGGCTTCCATTCAACTCAATTTCTGCCATTTCTGAGTGATGTTTGTTCTTTAATTTAGTTGTAATTTTGATGTGGTTGTGAGAAGAAGCAAGCCATATTTGCCTCCACCACTATCTTCGCAGGCTACTGACATTTTAAATGAAGTGCCTTGTTAACAATGTTTAAGTCACTTAGTTATATAAACTAAAGATATTGATGGCCTAGAATATTGATCAGATTGCCTTTATTATCATCTCTGAATTCTTTGTTTTGTTTTTAAACCAAAGCTTCAAAGACAAGTGAGATTATTGAGTCCTTATTGATCAGTTTGAACCTTTTGTAAGACCTATTTTCTAGCACATAGATATTGTAAAGCCACACAAGCAAACTTAAGCATTGGAATTAGTAGTTTGGTATAGCGGAAAAAGCATTACATCGGGAATCAAAATTTGCAGACTGGTCTTTGCACATTCACAGGCAGATTATTTTACCTCATTTCACTGAGGTATTCTCCTCTGGGGAATAGCTGAGTATATATAGCAATGACCCAGCCTTTTAAAATTACATTTACCCCTGCCTGTCTCCCCTACTAAGAATGTAATTCTGAGCCCTGGCTGGCATAGATCAGTGGATTGAGCGCGGGCTGCAAACCAAAGTGTCGCAGGTTTGATTCCCAGTCAGGCCACATACCTGGGTTGCAGGCCACAGCCCCCAGCAACCCCACATTGATGTCTCTCTCTCTCTCTCTCTCTCTCTCTCTCTCTCTCTCTCTCTCTCTCTCTCTCTCTCTCTCTCCCCCCCTCTCTCCCTTCCTTCCCTCTCTAAAAATAAATAAATAAAATCTTAAAAAAAAAAAAGAATGTAATTCTGCATCATCTCCCGCCTCTATCTCATCATTGTCAGGAGTGAGCCATTGTGTGTTGTGTTATCACCCTCAGGTGCCCTGGGATTAGAAAAGGTTGGGTACTATTGATCTCAAAGCTTCTTCTCAGCTCTTCTAGCTCTTCTTACTAAGAGGTCATCAAACTTGAGTTACACACAGTCCAGTATAATAGCTGCAGATTTTGACTTCTCAGCATATAATACTGAGGGGAAAAGTCACCTGGTACTCTGAAGGTCATAGAAGATATCAATATACAGAGTGGGGCAAAAGTAGGTTTACAGTACTTTGTATGGAAAACAATACAATAACTAATAAATAAGAATACAAGATTAAACTCTGTATTTCATGTACTTACAACTGCAATCCTACTTTTGCTCACCCCTGTACATGGTTTCTTAGCTGTTGGTCAAGAATTACTATGGTTTAGTCCCTTTTCATTATAGATCGCTACAATTTACAGTACAAATTCCAGCCTTCCTCCCCGAGAGACAACACATCACTGTTGATAACATGCCAGACTTGTCATAGCAAAGCTGTATACTCCCAGAGGACAAGAGCTAGCTGTGATTCTACTCACTATTTTATTGCCAGCCATAGTACCTGGTTCATTGCCATTCAATAAATGTCCAACGGGTGACTGAATGAACATTAATTTGTGGAGAATAAAGACTTAAGCCCAGAAGCTGTTCTGTTGACTTTAGCATATCCTAGTTGCTAAATGCAGAAACAAAGAGAGAAGTTTCTAGAAGTATTTTGGGCTGGTGAGAAGTGAATGATTAAGAAGCCCAAGCCTGGTTTGGAATTTGGTTCAGACTACCCACTTAAATTTTAACTGCCTATGGCAAAACAAATCACCTAGTGCATTCTCTGAATAAGAATTATGCTGAAATAATTTGGTTGAAGTTTAATCAGAATATTGAAGCAATTACCTATTCCATTACATATTTTCTGAGCCACTGATAAGTAAGTAGAAATATCTTGTTTGCTTATTGAAAAGCTCTTTAACATGAGTCCATTTTCCTGCCCAAGTTAGATTTATTGAAAATGTTATGATTACATATTTCATAGGTTCTCAAGATTCAGTGCAAACATAAATATATGGTATATTATTAATGTAATAACAGAAGATGAAGGAGGCTGGGATGAAAGTCACATTGACCCTCAGTAGCCTTATGGTGAAGTCAATGGTAACCCATGTGGTTTGATTTGGGAGGGGCTGAGGCCCTCTTTTTACAAATAACTCCTCTCTGGATTGTTCAGTCCTTGAAATACCTCCATTTAGACTCTGGATTAAGGAATTATCTTTGTTCCAGAGTCACCTGTTTAAAGGTAAATATTAGG